CTCCAGCCTGGGTAACAAGAGCGAAACTCCGTCCTCCCAAAAAAGCAAATAATGTTAATGTTGGAATGAAACAAGATTTCCAGCTTGAGGTAAAACCAAAGAATATTTAAAAACCCTTATAATCTTACAATTCGAATGGAAAACAGTATGAATTCATATTTTTCAAAAACAATGTGTATTTCCCATGCTAAAATAGTTAGGGGTAAAGGGTCCTGATCTCTATAATGTAACCTCACGTGATTCAGAGAAAATAAACCAGAACATATGGTTTATTTTCTCTGAATCACGTGAGGTTACATTATAGAGATCTCTCTCTATATATATTTTGAGACAGAATCTCCATTGCCCAGGCTGGAATGCAATCGTGTGATCTGGGCTCACTGCAACCTCCATCTCCTGGGTTCAAACAATTCTCCTGCCTCAGCCTCCCAAGCAGCTGGGATTGCAGGCGCACACCACTACACCTGGCTACTTTTTAGTATTTTTAGTAGAGATGGGGTTTCACCATGTTGGCCAGGCTCCGGTGATCCACCCACCTCAGAAAGTGCTGGGATTATGGGTGTGTGCCACTGCACCTGGCTGAGAAAATAATTTTTAAAACGATTTTCTTGCTTTATCCACTAAGAGGCCGGGAACTGGAGCAGCCCAGCCGTGGTAACAGTCAGTGCTCAGTCTGTGGCCTCTAATTCCCACTCCCCACTAGTGAGAACCAGGGCTCTGGACTAATGTGTAGTTACAGCTTCTGGGCAGGAAGAGTCAGAGGCAGTTGTGGCAAGGAGGCCATCAAAGCCCACTGGGTGGAGGGGCTCCTCTGGCCAACTTTCTGAGCATCTCCTGTTTGCCACAGACAAAGGCATCACTTGACTGAAATATCATGGATTCCACTTTGGGAGGCCGAGGCGGGTGGATCATGAGGTCAAGAGATCGAGACCATCCTGGCCAACATGGTGAACCCGTCTCTACTAAAAATACAAAAATTAGCTGAGCATGGTGGCACGCCTGTGGTCCCAGCTACTCGGGAGGCTGAGGCAGGAGAATTGCTTAAACCCAGAAGGCGGAGGTGGTTGCGGTGAGCCGAGATCCCAAGATCGTGCCATTGCACTCCAAGCCTGGGTAACAAGAGCGAAACTCCATCTCAAAAAAAAAAAAAAAAAAATCATGGATTCAACTGTGTATAAAAAATACTCCCAAAGCCCACAATAAAAAATACACAAAAACATGATATACCAACTGTTTACAGCGCATTTCCACCATATCAGGCGTTCGAAGCAGCCTAGACGACTTAGGTCCCTGTGCGGACGTGCGTAGCTACAGGCAGATCCCACGCCATTTACACGAGGGCCTCGGGCATCTGACTCTGGTATCCGTGTGGGTCCTGTGACGCACCCCTGTGGACACCGAGGACAGACTGTATACATCAAAATATTAAGTTCGTAACATGAGGTGGACGCGGGAAGGGGTCAGTGCAGTGGCATGAGGAACTCTCAGTCCTTTGGGCACCACTGAGGGTGCCAGGACTTTCTTACTCCAAAAATTGAGCATTAAAGGGAAAGAATCGTTTCTGCAGGCCTTTCTAGTAGGAACGTACTTCAGGTTAACCCAACCTACCCTACCCTCACTGCAACCTCCACCTCCTGGGTTCAGGGGATTCTCCTACCTCAGCCTCCCAAGTAGCTGGGATTACAGGCACATGACACCACACCAGGCTAATTTTTTGTATTTTTAGTAGAGACGGGGTTTCATCATGTTAGCCAGGCTGGTCTTGAACTCCTGACCTCAGATAATTCGCCTGCCTTGGCCTCCCAAAGCGCTGGGATTGCAGGCGTGAACCACCGTGCCAGGCCCTCTTCTTAATTTCTTAGGGAAGACTTTGGAGAACAAACATCAGTGGATAAAAAATGTACAGCCTACACAAGTGATAATATTCAAAATGCTCAGCCATAAAAATAAAGGCCTTTTATTTGGTTTCTCTATGCCAGTACAGGACCTTCTGGACAACGCTCCCGAGCCTGGAGAGGCTCACGGCCACACCCACTTCTGCTGCAGGGACCATCTGCTGAGGAACTGAACCGTTGAGACGCGGCAGCCAGGCCCTCCTGAGGGCTCCAGAAGCTCTACGTTACGGGGTCACCTTCTTGTAGGTGACGTGAAGATGCTGAGTCATTGGCTGTGTAGTGGTTGCCATGGAGACTGTCTGTTCAAGTTTGCCTTCAGAATTCAGCCTGAACTTCCGGGTGATCTGAGCAGGAGAATAAAACATAACACCTTAGTTTTGTCTTCAAAAGATTCAACAAAAGCCTGTGTGCCCACTGCATGTCACACACTCGCCACAGGCTGTGAGCCAGGCAGTGTCCGTGCCAGGGGTGGATGGACACACAGCCCAGGGCCCTGGGCACATCACAAACCAGGTGCCCCTCAGCTGCCTCCAGAAGACCACCAAGTGGACACAGGGACTGGGCTCATCTCAGTTTATTTAGAAGTCACCTTTTTGTCAACGGGCATACCACCCTGAAGGTGCCTGATCGTGTCTGGCCTCGGAAGCTAAGGAGGGTCGCGCCTGAGTACCTGGATGGGAGAAGTCACCTTTTTTGGGTCACTACAAATTACACATCCGATCAGACAAATGCTGAGCTTCTAATGCTTCCTCCTCCTCCATTGCCTCCCACTTTCACTGACGTTCTATGTGTTCTTGGAAAGCTCAGAAACACCATCTTTGGAACCGTAATTCATCAGAATAAATTACAGCGGCTGTTTTCTAACAAGAATCCAAGCCTATAGCAGCTAAGGTCCCAATGAGTCAGCCCTATGTGCCTGGACCGTTTGCCGGCAGACTGTGAGTGACCACTGTCAAAAGATAACCCTCTGACGGGCACTATCTCTATTGTCCCAGATGTGTGGGAGGTCAGGTGGGGGTGGCCAGAAGTGGATGAAACAGAGTTCTGCTTCTGGCCATGGATGACTACTGTGTAACTGACCTAACAACCCAGGTTTTAAGAAGTTTATTTAAAGGTGTCAGAGAGCCACCAACGTAGTGAGGACCAGTGCCCCAGGGAGAAGGAAGTGCAGAGGTGAGACCCAATTGGAGCAACTGGCCCTGACGCCTGTGCTACCTGGAAGTCTAGGTGTTCAGGCGGTGGAGGCCGAGAGGGATGTGGTAGCTAAGAGGCTGAGAAGCTGAGTGGGGCCCTCTTGAACTCATGGAGCCAGAGGGACAAAAACTGGAATTCAGTGTCCGTCTAGAAGGAGAGGCCCGGCTGGGTGCGTGGCTCACGCCTGTAATCCCAGGGCGTATCACAGGTCAGGAGATGAAGACCATCCTGGCCAACATGGTGAAAGTCCATCTCTACTAAAATACAAAAAAAATTAGCTGGGCATGGTGGTGTGCGCCTGTAGTCCCAGCTACTTGGGAGGCTGAGGGGAGGGAATTGCTGGAACCCAGGAGGCAGAAGTTGCAGTGAGTCACAATCACGCCACTACAGTCCAGCCTGGCAACAGAGAAAGACTGTCTCAAAAAAAAAAAAAAAAAAAAAGCCCAGGGAAGCACCCAGCTTTGGGTGGGATCCCTGAAGGGCCCCATCCGAGGATTAAGGGTTAACCAGGACCGAGCTGGGGACTCTGTTTTCGAAATGGCCCAGTCTCTACTGAACATGATCCGTCCATCTTGACCAACAGGCAGAAGCACAGACTGCTCTTTGGTGAGGATAACATCAAATAAAGCCTCGAGTCATCTGTACAATTTTTTTCTTTTTCTGTGAGACAGGATGGAGTGTGCCATGGTGCAATCTCAGCCCACAGCAACCTCCGCCTCCTGGGTTCAAGTGATCGACTCTCAGCCTCCTGAGTGGCTGGGACTACCGGCGCACGTCACCACATCCAGCTAATTTTGTTGTTGTTGCTGCTGTATTTTTAGTAGAGACAGGGTTTTACCATGTTGGCCAGGATGGTCTCTACCTCTTGACCTCAGGATCTGCCCAACTCAGCCTCCCAAAGTGCTAGGATTACAGGTGTGAGCCACTGCACCTGGCCCAATTTTTCATATATAATGTCTAGAATCCAAGAAAAACTCCTTGGCTTCCTAGGACGTACGATGAAAAGAAAAAACAGGATTTGGCACCTCCCCAGCCCTGACAGGGGATGCAATACTGGTGTTATCAGAAGACAACATGGAGGATTTCAGCAGATGATTAGAATTTATCAAAAAGATTAAAATAGAAATTCTTTAACTCTAAAACACAATTAACTCAAATGAAGGCCGCAATGGTAAAATAAACAGCAGACTAGGCACAGATGAAGAAAGGATTAGTAAACTGGAAAATATCCAGACTGAGGCTTAGAGAAGAATGGAAAATATGGATGAAAGCATAAGGGACACACTGAAAACTGCAAAAGACTGAACACATGTGTAATCAGAGACCCAGAAGAAGACAGGAAAGAAGACGGAACACCAGCAATATTTGAACAGATCACGGACAATTTTCTGAGCCTAACAAAATATGTAAAGCCGCAAATTCTAGTTATGTCATAGCAACACTTTGGCTGATACTCAAAGGCAAGAATAGAACCTTGAAAGCAACCAGCGGTGGGGGTGGGTGTAACAGTTAATTTTAGGTGTCAAACTGACTAGATTAAGGAATACCTAGAAACCGGCAAAGGATTATTGTGGGTGTGTCTGTGAGGGTGTTTCCAGAGGTGACTGACCAGGTGAGGAGAATCTGCCCTCAATGAGGGTGGACAGTATCCAACAGGCCAGGGGCCCAGAGAAAACCAAGACAAGACCAGGTGGATACGTCCATCTGTTTGCTGGAGCTGGGATGCACTCCCCTCCCCTGCCCTGGAACAACTCCAGGCCCCCGATCTCTGGACTCTGGGATGTCACCAGTACCTCCTCTCTCATCAGGGCTCTGAGGCCTTTGGACTTGGACTGAGCCATGACACTGGCATCCCAGGGTTTCCAGCTTGCGGAGGGGACGTTTGTAACTACTGAATGCTACACTCGTTAAGTGTACATGAAATATTCATGAAGTTAGGGCATGTACTAGGGCATAAACTAAGTCTCAAACATTTTTTAACAGAGTAAAATATTAGAGCGTATACTGTCTGGGCCTTACAAAATTGAATTAGAAATTCTTAGCAATAGAATCTATTAAAAAAATTCTCAAATATTTGGAAAATAAGTAACATATCCCTAAATAACCCTGTTCAAAGAAAAAAAAAAATCACTATAAAATGAGCCGGGTGTGGTGGTGCATGCCTGTAATCTCAGCTACTCGGCAGGCTGAGGCAGCAGAATCACTGGAACCCAGGAGGCAGAGGCTGCAGTGAGCCAAGATGGCGCCACTGCACTCCAGCCTCAGCAACAAGAGCAAAACTCCATCTCAAAAAAAGAAAAATCACTAGAGAATCGCCACTGTTCTCCAGCCTGGGTGACGTAGCAAGACGCTGTCTGTATTGAAAGAAAGGAAAGGAAAGGAAGAAGGAAGGAAGGAAGGAAGAGAAGGAGGGAAGGAACGGAGGGAGGGAGGGGAGGGAAAGGGAAGGAAAGAAAGGAAGAAAGGAAAGGAAGGAAAGAGAAAAGAGAAAAGAAAAGAAGGAAAGGAAGAAGAAAGGAAAAAGGAAAGAAGGGAGGGAAGAAATGAAAGGAAGGGAAGGGAGGGGAGCAGAGGGAAGGGAAGGAAAGGCAGAAGAAAGAAGAAAACCACAGAAATGAATGAATTTAATAAAGTCACATGATACAAGATCAACATACAACAGCTATTGTACTTCTATATACTTGCAACAAATTGGAAAATTAAAAAATCATTTATAAGAATATCTGAAACTACGAAATACTTAGCAATAAATTTAACAATGTGTGGAAAACTAATACGTTGAAAACTACAAGAAAATGTAGGATGAGACTGATCTAAATAAACAGAGCACTTTACCATGGCACTGGACTGGAGGACTCATTTAGCCTAAGATGGCCCTTTTCCCAAATTAACTGAGAAATTCAAGTAATTCTAATGATAATTTTTCTAGAAACTGACAAGCTGATTCTGAAATTCATATGGAAATGCAAAGGGTCCTAGGATATAAAAAAAAATTAGAAAAAAAGAGAAAAGTTGGGTAACTTCTATCGCCTAGTTTAATATAAAGCTACAGTGATCAAGACAGCGTGGTGACAGTCACAGAGATGGAAAGAGAGACGAGCGTGAGAGAAGAGAGTCCTGGGGAAGAACCACACACACGAAGCGCATCAATTTTCGACAAAAGCACCACATACTTCAACCAATTAAGGGTTCTCTTTTCAACAAACGGTGCTGGAAAATGAGATTATCTGTATGAGGGAAAACGGAAAAAAACATGACTACTACCTCACACCATATAGAAATGGTAATTCCAAGTAGCATATACCTTAAAGTAAAAGGAAAACTATAAAACTTTTTAAAGAAAATGCAGGTGAAAATCTCTGCAACCTGGGCTAAGTAAAAAATTTTAAGACAGGACACAAAAAGCACTAACTAGAGAAGAAAAAAATGGTCAAAATTAAAACGTTTGGTTCTGACTGGGCATGGTGGCTCACACCTGTAATCCCAGTGCGTTAGGAGGCTGAAGCAGGTGGATCACCTCATGCCAGGAGTTCGAGACCAGACTGGCCAACATGGTGAAACCCCATCTCTACTAAAAATACAAAAAATCAGCCAGGCATGGTGGCAGGCGCCTGTAATCCCAGCTACTTGGGAGGCTGAGGCAGGGGAATCGCTTGAACCTGGGTAGAGGGTGCAGTGAGCCGAGATCGTGCCATTGCACTCCAGCCTGAGCAACAAGAGAGAAACTCCAGCTCAAAGAAAAAAAAAAGTTTGGTTCTTCAAAAGGAACTGTCTAGGAAACAGTACAGGACAGGAGAGGAATATGGTGTTGTCAGGTGCACCTGATAAAGGACTTACACCTGGAATACAAAATTGACTCTTACAGCTCAGGAATAACATAAACAACACCCAAAGGGGCAAAAGATCTGAATGTTCATTTCACAAAACAAGGAACACAAGTGGCAAATGTGTACAACAGAAAGATGAGCAGCATTACTCAGCAGGAAGTGCAAATTAGCATCACAATGAAATACCACCTCATAGTGGCCAGGATAAAACTCAAAGGCCAACCCTCGCCAGGCCGTGGGACAACCTTGCTGGGGTGTCAAGTGGGACAGCCACTCTGGAAGAGATTGGTGCTTACCACAGAACCCGGCAGTTCCAATCACAG